GATGAATTAACATTACCTCAGCACTGCATAAGTGTGGTCGTCAGTCATATTGACAAAGAAGCACTATTATATTGTATATTGTATATTATGCGGCGTTTAAAAGGACGGTATTTCGCTTGTCAGATTCAGATTTCGCGGGTGTGCCGCGTGAGGCAGTGATGTAACCATATAAATGATTAATTAACATTACCTCAGCACTGCATAAGTGTGGTGGTCAGTCATATTGACAAAGAAGCACTATTATATTGTATATTGTATATTATGCGGCGTTTAAAAGGACGGTATTTCGCTTGTCAGATTCAGATTTCGCGGGTGTGCCGCGTGAGGCAGTGATGTAACAATAGGGATGTAACGCCAGGTTGATGCTGTGACGTAATGCCGCGTCAATGCTTGCGTAACGCGGAAGTGGGATCTAAACTGGGTTGGAAAAACGCAAAAATAACTGTATCACTATAACATGATGATGATGGTGATAAAGAATGCATCTAACGTTCCGCTGTTCATTATAATACAAAACAGAGTATTAAACAAACCATCATGCTCTTACTTTGAAATCATGCGGAATTGTCGTTATCAGCAGACCATCACGTGGTTTCCGAAAATAACCGAGTGACACGAGTAGATTTTAGCCGAGACCGGCGGAAAGTATGTCTCAAGAAACAAAAGACAATCCACAAGCAGAGATTTCAGATCCGCAAGCGCATTTTTGGTCGACAAATGCAAAATGGATTCACAAATGCCTGATCGAAAGTTGTCAATGTTAGAGATATTCACAGATCTTTTTTTTATTTGTGAAAAATATTTAGCCTATTTGCAGATCCGTTTTACATTTGCAAATTTATTTGTCGGTTTGCAAATCTTTTAAATGCATTTGTGGATGGTGTTTTACATTTACAAATCACATATTTACACACAAATTATTTTCTGTTCACACAAATAATTATGAGACATATCTGACTATGCCCATAGTTGAATTTTAGCGCACTCGAGCTGGTTTCTCCATTCTTACCTACCCTACCTTTAATTAATAAGGGCAACTGAAATAATGGAGATGGATGGGGGTTGTTCCGTTTTAAATAAACTTTTTTGTTACTTTCAGTCCAATAGGTGGCGGTAATGCACTAAATCGTTGGTTGCGAACTGCCAATTACACTCAAAGAAGAAGAAGAAGACGAACCTCCTTCACTTCAGCGCGTGCGCGACTTCAAGGTGAATAGCATGGATGGATGTAGCTCGTTGTAGCTTTGACTGAATTCGCTCTGTATTACCCCACCCCCCCTCCCGACTACACTGTGATTGACTCTGCTGAGCTCCGAGACAGACAGAGGGGTAACTGTAGGGTAAGGGGGGGGTACATGCTTATCCCTGTAGATACAACAGTCACACTTTGTAGAGAACACGTTCTTTCTCTGACTTCGTTCAGGTTCTAACTTTGTCCCCCCCACCCACAGAAACATCACCTCCAGAACACTGCAGGAACACAGGCAGCCCAGGATGGCCCGGGTGAGTGTGTGTGTGTGTGTGTGTGTGTGTGTGTGTGTGTGTGTGTGTGTGTGTGTGTGTGTGTGTGTGTGTGTGTGTGTGTGTGTGTGTGTGTGTGTCATTAATTATAGTACTCAGAAAGGGAGTTTGACAGAGTATTACTCAAAAAGTACACTGTAAAAGTACTTGATCGTACTTGTGGTAGTAGTGCAACTATTACTGAGTCCAACGGTACCAATTTTATGAAGAACTTATGGCTAAAAATCATTTTGTCCCTCATAAAAATATTTCCCTCATCAAATATAGCAGAAGTGGCTTGAATTTGTACTCAGGAGGGGAGTTTGACAGAGAATAACTGAACAAGTACACAGTAAAAGTACTTCATTGTATTGTTGTTAGCAGAGTCCAACAGTGTCAGTTTTATTAAGAACTTATGGTAAAAATAATTTGTATTGCAAATAAAGCATAAAAACATGCATTCTTGTACTAGCGTCAGTGCCGCTTCTCAGCGATTACCGTAAAGGCGCGATAAGAGCTGCTGATTTGACCAAGGAAACGCGAGAGATTGCTGAGTTGACCACAGTGTTTTGTGCAGGTGCTGTGCAGAGCGCAGGTCTCCTACCTGCCGGGGCTTCAGGTGTTGGTGCACCGTGTGTGTGCAGCCAGAGCCTCCTCTGCTGCGGGGCCCTCGGGACCCTCGGGCTCTGATGTAGCCATCCATCCCTCCAGCATGGGTATTTGTTTATTTTGTGTTGTACTGTATCATGAACTAGCTGAGGCTGATTAGAAAATTAGAAGAATTATCTGTACTATAGCATAGATCGTTGTGGTTTGAGTGGTAACATGAATGTTTGAAACAGGAAAGGACCGACAGGGTTAGACAGCTGTGAGGTTTCTTCCTCGGCTCGCTGCACATTATCCCGCACTGCTGCTTACTAAATAAATCAACAATTTGACTCAGACTTTTGATTTGAAAATCATCCTACTGCTTCTTCTAAGACCAAACTGCAGCGACAGCAACGCAACTTGAAATCACAGCAGCACTGATTGAGGTTTTCTATTACGGTCCAAATTGACCAACCAATGGAATATTCAACTAAGCTTTGTAATGCGCAAGAACATTTGTTATCTGGGATACCGTTTTTTTCATTAATATTCTTTTCCTGTTAATGTGCATCCATGCTGAAGGACTGCAGACAGTGTGGCCTGATGAGAGCATGGGGCCTTTCGGGCCCCAGGACCAGCGCTTCCTGCTGCCTGGTAACGTGGGCTTTGTCTGCCAGCTGGAGGGGTTAGCAGAGCAGAGGAAGGGCCCGGCACACAGGGGGGTCCCTGACCTGCTCTCGTCAATGTCCAGCATTGAGAGACATGACTTCATTCTGGCCCAATGCATCGGAGAGTTCTCTGTAAGTGTATTATTGCTAACATTAGAACTCTCTCTGCACTCTACATTACTTGTTACTTAACCATTATGTAGCTGTGTCAAACACAATTGGATCACTGCTCAAGACAATGAAGGGCACAGGATATTTGACTTTAAACTCTTATTATTCAATAAAACATAGGAAAAAAAGCCCTCTTGATTCTTTTTGACAATGTGTAATATTAAAAGAGTTCTTGTACCTGTATACAAGGTTTCAAAGAAAGAAGCTGGCTGTGCAAAATCCACAGTTTTTTGTATTAAAGTTTTCTATTTAGGCAACATTTTTGTGTGTTACAGATACACCAGAGTACCAGATTGCTTAATCTAAAAGAAGGTCCTAGTGCAAAACTAAGGTGGATAAACCGAAATTAGAGATATGGAATGGATTAACGTTTAATGACAATATATAGAGTAATTCTGTGTTTAAAATGTGTTTTTATTGTAAATGTGTATTATGCCGTGCAACAAGACGTGATGTTGTGCTCGTAAACACAAAAGTGGTATGGAAACAAAAAAAACCTTTATTTCTTATATTGTCCTGCTGATCTCACACAACACATTTTGTATTTATTTTTACTGATGGAGTCGCTGCTGGATAGTTGATACACAAGCAGAGTAGCCGCTGTGCACACGCAATGGAACACAGCTGGAGATAGCACCACATTAATATAAATAGTTTTTATTCGAAAAATATCACTTGTCACCGGCTTGGTCTTCAATATCAGGATACATGTATTTATTATCCTTGCAAGAATGGAAGTAGTCATCACACACAAAGCTGTGTTGGACAAATAGTTCCCAGAATAGTGTCCTTAACATGCTTATATACAAGAGAGTGTTACAGTCACAAGATGCAGAATACAGGTTCAAAGCAGTATTCTGACCTTAGTTCAGATTAGCTAGGGCCTGCGTAAGCAATAAACATGACAGTCATATGTCTATCTCCATAGAGGCTGAATCATCATGTTAATCGTTGTCACATAGCTATCATATGCCCATAACAGTCCTGACGCTCTTTTAGGTAATCATACATCCTGTTACGTACACAGCTACGTAGGGCCTTTGTTATCATGTGCTACTCTGATATTAGAAGAGTACATTCTGTATTTTCCCAACAGTTTGTAAATATAGTAATTGTGCAAACCCACAAAATACGTTGGTTTACTGTGTGTGTGTGTGTGTGTGTGTGTGTGTGTGTGTGTGTGTGTGTGTGTGTGTGTGTGTGTGTGTGTGTGTGTGTGTGTGTGTGTGTGTGTGTGTGTGTGTGTGTGTGTGTGTGTGTCGTGTGTGGTGTAGGT